TATATAAATATATATGTATGTATGTATGTATGTATATATATATATATATATATATATATATATATATATATATATATATATATATATATATATATATATAAATATATATTTCTATATATACAAATATATATATAATCATGTTTATTTATATATATTATGTATATATATATGTATATATATATATATATATATATATATATATATATATATGTGTATATGTATGTATATATATATATATATATATATATATATATATATATATATATGTATGTATATATATATATATATATATTATAAATGTATAACATATACATATATATATACAACATAATACAACATAACATATACAACATAAGTATATAAATATATAACATATACAACATAAATATATATTTATATATATATATATATATATACACATATATTATTATTATTATTATTATTATTATTATTATTATTATTATTATTATAGTAATTCTACAATAGAAGCTTCACTTCTATGAGCCGAGTGTCTAACGAGACCCGACTATAGTAGACCGACGTGAGATAGAACGATTCCATTTGTCATAATTGTTTTTGAAACGATCAACTGAATTTGCAGCAACTACCGAAGCAGGCAAAGCGTTCCATGATGACACCACTCGGTTTCTAAAGAAGTTATGTCTTTGAGAGTTTTTCGATAATTCTTGATCAATTTTATGCTTGGCACCACGAAGATGACCTGCAGGACCATCACATAGGAGTGCACTTGCTCTGTTAATCTGCTGTTGCCAGTTAACAATATTTAATTTTTTGTAAATTTTAAAAAATTGAATTACATCTCCTCTTGTTCGACGTTCAGCTAATGAGCTGAGACCAAGATATGCTAATCGTTTCTTGTAATTCAAGCTGCAAAATTGTGGAACGAGTTTGGTAGCTCTACGTTGGACCGACTCTAACTTTTTAATGTCCTTTAGAAGAAAAGGGTACCAAATTGGTGCACAGTACTCCAATATCGGTCTTACATATGCTGTATAGAGCTTCACGAACATAGTTGGATTCCATTTTTTAAAAGTTCTTTTGAGTATCCCAAGTATAGAATTAGCTTTGAGAGTGGCATCACTAATCTGATCTGACCATTTTAGTTTATTATGTATCAGAACACCCAATGTTCTTTCAACGGATACATCTTCAATAGGAATTTGACTGCCATTTTTATCTAACATTGTCAAGGGGATATTGATGTCTGTGGAACCACCACGGAACTTTAGAACCTTGCATTTATTTATGCTAAGTTCCATGCACCAAAGTCTTGACCAATTACATATCATATCAATATCATTTTGAACTAAAGCCAAGTCCGTAACTGTTTTTATTTTGGCAACCAACTGGCTATCATCAGCAAAGAGTTTGCAATTATTTTTGACTAATTTTGGCATGTCGTTAATAAAGATCAAAAAAAGAAGAGGACCTATGACTGATCCTTGAAGTACACCACTATGGACATCCTTCCATTCGGAAGAGAAATTTCCTAGAACAACCCGCTGTTTCTTATTTTCAAGAAAGTCTTTGAGCCAGGCAAGAATATTATTGCCAAAACCATAGCCAGCCAGTTTGTGATAAAGCAGAAGATGTGATACACGATCAAAAGCTTTGGCAAAATCTAACAAAATGAGCAATGCAGCACAGTTGTCACTTAAAGCTTTGGTAATAATATCCATTACTTCAAGAAGATTTGTGACACATGATCTAGATTTGACAAAACCGTGTTGATGGCAAGATAATAGATTATGCTTAACTAGGTGTTCAGTCATGACATCACGCATTATTTTCTCCATTACTTTTCCAATTGCTGAGGTGAGGGAAATAGGCCTGTAATTTCCAGGATCAGTACGCTGACCCTTTTTAAATATTGGCGTTATATTAGCCAGTTTCCAACCAGACGGTACTTGTCCAGAATCAAACGATTTGATAAACAGGAGAGAGAGAGGCACACTGAATTCTTTAGAGCACATTTTTAGCACTCTAGGATGGATTCCATCATTACCAGTGCCTTTTGAAGAGTCAAGAGCAGATAAAAGTTTTTCGATATTGCAACAATTGAACAAGGAGCTAGAAACTGGTGAGCAAACTATTTTGGTTCTTCGAGGAAAATCAGGAGCTTCGGAGTGAGTTTCAGGTAATGAAAAAGCTTTAAAAAAGTGATTATTTAAGCAATTTGCAATAGACATATTATCTACTAATTGCACTCCATCGTGGTCAAAAAGAGATCGAATTTCACTTTTACAAGTTTTTTGGCTGTTTATATAAGAATAAAACTTTTTTGGACAGGACTTACAAGCAGAAATGACTTCACTCTCATACTTTAGTACAGCATCAGCAACAAGCTTTTTCACCAGACGATTTTGTTTGTTGTACAAGACTCGAATACTATCTTTAAATTTGCTTGAAGAACAGCGTAATTTCATAAATAGTCTAAATTTTTCATTAGTTGCCACTTTAATAGAAGAATTAAACCATTTTGGATCACGTTTTTTAAAATTAAAAGACATATTATATTTGGGAATGTGATGTTCAACCAATGAAATGTAAATGTTTTTAAATAATTCAAAGCTTTCATCTGCTGATTTATTTGTGAATAAGTTCGGCCAATTGATTGCTTTTAGGCCTTCACTTATGGCATTATAGTCACCTTTGTCATAGATATAATTAACTTTGTGATGTCTGATTGATTTGGTCGATGTTTTAAGTTTAAAATCCCATAAGAGTGAATTGTGGAAATAGTTTTTCTGAGTACAACCAAGCGGAGGACCAATTGTAATATTATGAATACGATCAGGGTCTTCAGATAGCACCAGGTCAAGTGTGTTATTGATAAATGTTGGTTTGGTGACAAACTGTGATAGGAAGCAATCATCTATAGTTTTTAAAAATATTTTACTAGACTGTTTACCCTTTTTACATTTGCCACCCAAATCACTCCATCTGATATCACTATAATTAAAATCACCAACAATGAGAACACTTGTAAATTTACCATTATCAATTAGAGCTCTAGCACGTTTGATTGACTTGTTGATTTGTAAATTAGACTCATATTTAGTGAACGGTTGGCGATAAATACAACCAATTAACAAAATGTCATTTCCAATTAAAATCTGACACCATATTTGCTCGCTAATTAGTTCATCACTGAACTCACATTCAAATGAATGTATGTCTTTTCTAACATAAATAGCCACGCCACCTCCACGAATTGTCCTGTTACGAAGATATACAGTGTAATTTTCAAGATTTGTTGAAGATGTGGCGGAGAACCATGTTTCAGTGACTGCAACGATGTGTGGGTAATCCAGTGACGCAATTCTAGCTTGGAATTCATCCCATTTATTATCCAAAGATATTGGATTAAGATAAAGACATTTGAGGTCAGATAAAGAATAGCTAGATATAAAAGATAGAGGACTGTAAGTGTTAGGATTTGGTGTTTTATTCTTTGCGCTCGATCCATCGAATTGTGCCAGATCGCACAGACCAAAATCCTTTTTTACCATCTCTTGTACCCCAATTGAGTTGCCTCCCTTGCAAATCCACAAAAGAATTTGGAAGAGCATTGTTTCTAATTCTACATTCAACATGAAGTTTAGAGAGAGCAATTCTTTCATTTTCAGTTTGATCTGGTTGAACATAAACTTTTGTTAAACTAAACTTATTTTTTAGTTCCCTTGCATTAGCCAAAGCTGATTGACGTTTTTCATAGTTTTTGAATTCAATTAAAACCAATGGAGGACGTGAAGACACAGAATTAAATTGATTTTCGATCTCACAAGAGATAGGAGTAGGAGGAAAGGCATTTTTCTTTTTAAGTCGTTTTTTGACTTTTACATCATCAGAAGATACTTTAAGAATGGTAAGAATTTCATCAATGCTTTATTATCATCATCCAAATTTACTGACTCAGTAAGACCACTTATGATCATATTATTTAAAATTCTATTTTTTTCGTTGTTTTCTTTTGAAATTTTGGCAAACAAAGCAGCATTTTTCTCTTTGGCAGCAAGGTCCTTTTCTTTACTTACAAAACCTGCCCAGACGTCAGCATTGTGAATATTATTTTGATAAGTGATATTTGCATTGTTATTATTTTTAAGAAAATCAATTTCCTTTCGTTGATTTTTATTTTCTGCTTCTAAGAAACCAACTCTTGTAGTAAGAGAAGAGACCATTAATGATAACTTTCCACACCAAACATGTAATGCTCTGCTTAAATCACTGTGATTTCCTTGACCAATTTTTGGCCAATTTTCTTCTAGAAGGAAGTCCATCTTGAAGCAAATAATTTGTAAAGAGGGCTACCACCCTTAAGAACAGTGGATTACCTCAAGATGTGAACTTTTTGTTTTATATTATATTAAATACCTTATTGACACAAATACTTAAAAAAAGTTTAGACGTGTTTTTTTCCGTGACGTATATACATATATATATATATATATATATATATATATATATATATATATATATATATATATATATACACACTTACTAAAGCGTGTTTTGATAAGCATTTGCTCACTTTTTGTGCTTACTTTAAGGTAAACCGTTTTTTTCGAAAAAGAAGAAGAAAAAAATGAAGAATTATAAATAAAACAATTGCTTCCCTATCCCAAACCCTTAGTCGATGTAGCAGCACTCCACTGCGAGTCAGGCTATTTGTCAGTCGTTGTATGTACTGAAGCCCCCAGCAGCCGGCTATTTCAGTATGACGTCAGATTACTTACCAAAGTACGCAATACTATTTGTATATATATATATATATATATATATATATATATATATATATATATATATATATATATATATATATATATATATATATATATATATATATATATAACATAAATAACATGAACTTTAAATTAAAAAAATACAATTATTTTAAATTAATATTGTATTTATCTAATATTTGTAATAATTTTTTTTTTTTTTTTTTTAAAAATTTATTTTTACTCTATTTTTAGATGCGGGTCTAACAAAAACATAGTTTCTTCCTTCTGCTCCAAAAACATGAAAATGAAACCTCACACAATATATTCATATGATGGATGCATAGATATTGTTCATAGAAAAAATGTCAAATCGTTGAATGATAACTATTTTTCCGCTTATTACTCAACATATTCACAGAACTTTTCTTTGGGTCCTGCAACTTGTTCAAGGTATGTATACATAGCCACTTATACACACACAAACACACTCAAATATATATATATATATATATATATATATATATATATATATATATATATATATATATATATATATATATATATATATATATATATATACATATATATATATATATATATATATTTATATATATATATATATATATATATATATATATATATATATATATATATATATATATATATATATATATTTAAAATATATATATTAAGGTATATATATATATATATATATATATATATATATATATATATATATATATATATATATATATCTTTACATATATATATATATACCTTTATATATATATCTTTATATATATATACCTTAATATATATATATATATATATATATATATCTTTATATATATATATACCTTTATATATATATCTTTATATATATATATACCTTAATATATATATATACCTTAATATATATATATATATATATATATATATATATATATATATATATATATATATATATATATATATATATATATATATATATATAGTCTTACATGGAAGTCGAAAAGATTTTGTCCATAAACTGTACTTTTTTAAGAGAGCGCTAATAAACCAGACCAAAACTTAAACATAATTGCAAGATTTTCGAATTTGTTTAGTTCAAATTTAATTGCAATTGAACAAAAAAATTTATTCAGGAATTTTCAATATGAAAATAGTCAAATCTCAGCTGAAGAAATTTTAATTAAAAAATGTTGAACCAAAAACGATTTAAAAAAAATTTCTCGGAATTAAATACTTAATCTCTGGATTTAGGAAATTTAGGGAAACCAAAACCTCAGCCAATGTAGCAGCACTCCGTTGGGAGTCAGGCTATTTATCAGTCGATGTAGCAGCACTCCATTGTTAGTCAGGCTATAGGATAGTCGATGTAGCAACAATCTCTTGTAGCAGCAGGCTATAAGATAGTTAATGCAGCAACACTTCGCGCATATTTTAAAAATATTTTTTAATAAAACAGCAACTAAAATACCATTAATTAAAAAAAAATTTCTAGTCATTTTTGCGGGTGTTTTAAAAAACAATAAAATTTAATGTACTTCCGCATTAATTTTATTGCTTTAACATTGAGCAGTGAAACTAAAATGGACTTGGCAAGCAAAGCAAGCCACTTGCACATTTTAATAATAATTTTCTTAGTTACACTGTAATGTTTTGTATCATATTGTAAATTAATCCGAAAACTATTGTCATCAATAGTTGTTTTTATGATATTTATTTAAGCATCCCAACGTTTTCTAGAAATATTAAAAAGAACATTTGCTTAACTTTTTAAGTTAATCAAATGCAATGTTTTCTACTTGCATATATTTAGCTTTTTTTATTGATTATTTATTGATTATTTAACAATTATTTAACCATTGATTATATAACAATTATTGATTATTAAGCAATTGATTATTTATAAATAATATTTTGTTTCACATTTCTTCCCTTTTTTATATAAAGTACTATAGTTGTTGTTGTTTTTTACAGTTTTTAAAAATGGTTTTAAATGAAATCTTTTGTCATATGAAGTTAAGTTTATTTAAAAATAATTGTCAAAATATTAAAAAAAAAATCTTTAGTAACAAACTTTTTAACCTCAAAGACATTCACAAAATGTAATAATGAATAAATATTTTTCAACTTTTTAAATCATTATTATTGTGTAATTAGGGAAAGTGGAGGCATAACCCTTATGTTTGGGGTAATGTTATATGAAAAGAAAACAGAATGTGTTTTTTTAACAGTTTATTTCAATAACCACATCATTAACCTTTAAATTGATGCAATTAAGTGAAAATGCTATTTGCCCCCAATCATGAGGCACAACAGCACCCTCACAAAAATTGTTGGGGGTTTTCTTGGTATATTTTCTTTACAATTGTCACAGCTCAGATTATTTGCTGGTTTTGTTGCACATTTGTATACTGTGTAGGCATTCTTTGTACTTACAGTCTTAGTTTTCTCATTTGTTATACTCTTAGCTTTATATTTTATTCAAAAACTCATTTAGAAAAATTAAATTAAAAAAATGAAATCTAATTTTCAACATCTCAAAATAAAAATATTTCTATTCAAGTTTTTACATGAACGCATTTAAATGTGTGAATTGTAATTATTGTCATTTGTAATTACCTTTGATAAATCTTAAAAGTATGCGGTTGTGCCTCCTGTGCATCTATGCGGTTCTGCCCCAGAGGACAGTTTTTAGAAAGAATACAGTTTCATAGCTTCCTTATTAGGTCATGTTGATATCAAAAATGGTTTTCACTTAATGAATAAATGCTGATAACATATATCTTTAACACTAAAATCAAATATTTCTTATTCCTCAAAAAAAAAGGTCTGGAAAAATATGATGTAAATATAATATTTTCATCAAAATAAGCATTTTTATACAAATATTCTCAAAAACCTAACAGGCATTTTTTTTTGATATAAATGAAATGAAGGAAACTGTTTTACTAACACATGGTATGTTTTTTGACATATTAGATAACATTTTTTAAAGGAAAGTGTTAAAAAACGGTTGTGCCTCCATGTGTGGTTATGTACCCACTTCCTCTAGATAATACTTGTTAAAGCAATATTTAACTTCTAATGTGCTAGATGCTTTTGACTAATTTTGTTTGTGTAATTAAAATAAGACTCAACCCGAAAAACATTGACTTTAACAAAACATTAATATGTTTTACTGTTTAAAAAAAGTATATATATATATATATATATATTTGCGGGCTTTATTTATTTTGCCATTGTAAAAACACTACTCAACAAGGATTTCAGAACATTTAAATTCAGATAAGGCCTCACATATTTACAAACATCTCAATTCATCACAAAAATACAAAAATTCAACTACTCTTGATTGCTTTTCCATTATTGACAGAGTTTCCTCCAAGTATGAACTTAAAATTAAGGAAAGTATCCTTATTGAAATAGAAAAACCTCTTCTTAATACACAATTGAAATTATACATTATTACTATAACAATATAATTTCTCAATTATCTTTTTATTTCCTATTTTGTTTATTATTAATTACTTCACACCTTTTGTATAATCATTTGTAAAATTTCATGGTAATTATTTATTTTGTAAAATGTAACTATGGTAGCTATCGTAAAAACTATTAAATTTTTAATGTAGTCAAAACAATTGTTTATATAGAGAAATTGTATTATACCTGATGATTTCAATTAATATTGATAAAATTTTATTTATTTATTTGAAAATTATATATATATATATATATATATATATATATATATATATATATATATATATATATATATATATATATATATATATATATATATATATTTAAACAATTTAAAAAAAAATCTATTCTACAAAATAGAGTGCTCAATGTTCATGAAAGAACAGAGCAATTATAAAAGAAGGCATGGAACGCGCCAACTTCTGACAGTACTCCACACTAGTTTCCATTGCCCACACTTCCTGAATTATTTTTTTCAGATGTTCTTGTGATGTTGGATTGTGAGCGGCCACCTTTTTTTTCATAATTACCTGCAGATTTTCTATGGGGTTTAAACCAGGTGATGACCCTGGCCATGGTTCTATCACGGAAATATGATTATCCGCTAGCCACTTTGACACTGATCTTGCCCTATGGAAAGGAGCACCATCATGCTGAAAGTGATCCTCCTGGTGAATCTGCATAAGATTGACCAACTTCTCCTGCAGTATTCTACGGTAGGTCTCAGCATTGATTGTTTTCCCATGTGGCATGAACCACAAACCTCCTTGTCCATGTTTACCGTAAAAGGAACTCCACACCATCACCTTTGCACATTGCTTCACTGTAGCAATGCAGTATTTGGCATTGTTCCTCTTCCCATCTGGACGACGAACGTGTCATTGGAAAGTGTAAAATTGATTGAAAGTAGACTCATCCGAAAACATGACATTCTCCCAGTCATCGGATGAGAAATTGCGGTATTTGCGACAAAATGCCAACCGGTCTTGTTGTCCGGTATGTTTTTTCAAGACAACAGTGGCTTTTTTGCAGGTCGCCTTGACTTATGCCCAGCAAAAAATAGTCTCCTTCTAATCGTTCGAGTACTAACATTATCTTCAGATGGTAATAATGATTGAATCCTGGCAGAAGAAGACAAGAAGAGAGAGCTTGGCACACCTTACAATTGCAGTGTCCATGCGCATGGAAGTTACCTTTGGTCTTCCACTTCTCCTTCTTGAAAGGTAATTAGAAGTGTTAGGATCAAGAAAACGGCTAATGCACTTTTGGACAGCACCACGAGACACACTTAATTTACTTGCAATTTGCCGCTGACTGTGACCTTCATCAAATAGCAAACAAACTTGAGCACGTTTTACAATGGATAATTCATTACCACGAACCATTGTAAAAATTATCAATAAATTCACTAGAAATACACAAAAACAATTAATCAGAAAAACATATCACTAGTACAAAGAATTTTTTATATAATTAATTAATTAAACTTTAAACACTAGAATGAATCAGTCAAGTTCTCTTTAAACGTAAATCATGCCAAAAGTAACCCAAAATATTAAACATAAAATTAAATATTAAAAATATTAAACATATAACCATCACTACCACCTAACTGTTTTAATATATCTTTTACTTATATGTCTGCTAAGCAATGGGCTGTGCAGTTTTCTCAGTCCTGTTAACTTTAAGTTGTAACATAGGGCTTCTTAAGTGGCCTTGACAATACGCACCAAAACCATTAACAGGGACACCATCCATGCACAACATGATTCTGTTAATACTCTGATATTTTGCAGCTGTTGATGGAATTAGCCTCTCTGAGAGCTACCATAGTGTTTGGGAAACCTTATTACCAGCTGGCTGCAGAACCATCAAACTGAGTTTTAGAGCTGTAATAATAGGAAAGGTTGCATTGCCACTATCAAGAAGGCACAAGATATAACCTATGAAAAGATTCAAGGAGATCCAGCATTCACCATTGTTCATATATACATGGTTTTTTCCATAATCTGATGACATAAAAAAAGTTATACATTAAAAAATTAGACTGAGGTAGACCGTAACATATGCGTTCATTTTAGATGTGTTATGTATTTTGACATCCGCTTCAAAAATATTCCTGTTTTGCTATGTTTTTTTATAAAGGAAAAAGTAGAAAGAGGTCAGGGTTAGGGGTACTGGAATGGAAATCTCATATTTAGACCGGAACTGGATTTGCTGGAATTGTCAATAAAATTCCAGCTGGATTTCTGGCCGAAGCGAGAATTATATTCATGTTAATTTTTACCTTCAAAATTAAAGTTGAAGCCGGCACCTTAGCATCGTGGCAATATAATATATATTTATAACCTATAATATATATGAACCTATTTTACTAGTTTGATTTTTGTTTCATTCGAATATATTATGTTGTTTTTGTTTGTTTAAAATAAGATTTTAACAAAATAAATATATTATGTTGTTTTTAAAATGTTTTAAGTTTCATTTTAAATAAAACTATTCTCAAAGGCAGGTTACATTTGAAAAAAGATCAAGCTTGTTGCATGAAACTGGAGAGTAACTTTTTTTGTTCCACAATATTCCTAAACTTCCATAAATAAAATTTCATAATCATAATTGATTATAGCAAACTAAAATAACATTGTGTTCATTTAAAAGTTTGTAATTTTTACCTATGTTTACCAATGATTCTTAATTGCCCTGTAGGACAATAAATTTTATATTTAATTTAAAAAGTCTGTGCCACGTGTCTTAAAAGATAAGGTAAAAATAAATTTTGGCATTCCATCTTGAAATATTGTATTTCTGGCTGGAACCGGAATAAACTAAAAGTCACAACTTCCACCCGAAATTTCAGACAGAACGAAATTCTGGTACATTAAATTAGTTATCTTATATTGAGTAAATATTGTTTTTTTTTTGTTTGTTTAAAGTGAAGGTAAGAGTAATAGTAATTTTATAAAAAAAAATGATTTTCAAATTAATAAACCTGGTAAAAGTAATTTTCACCTAAAGAATTTATTATGTTTTATATTATGTTGGTATATAATTCATTATACCAACATAAATGCTAACAAATGTAAGTAACATTAGTCCAGTCGAATTAGATTATTTTCAGAAAAAATTTTTAAAAAACTGAAATTTTGCCTTGTGATTCCCTAAGGTATAATATACCTTAGGGAATGAATTAAATTGAAATGAATTATAAGAATGAAATGAATAATATGAATTATATAAATGATATGAATTGTTAGCATTTATGTTGGTATAATGAATTAATGAATTATACTATTCTATATCATATAGATCACTTAAAAAATTACTTCATAATTCACAATTGGAGAACCCTTTTTTTGGGCCCTGTTTTAAATATACTGTGTCATGCATGTGCAAATACTTTTAAAAATTTTATCTTTAAGCATAGACTTGTATATACCATTTTAAAGCATTTTTTATGCTGAAAAATTTTTTATATAACACTAAGGTCTTAAAATAAAAGGATAACTAGTTATTTCACAATTAATTTTAGTTATTTCACAAATAAATAAAGTCTTTTGTTAATTAAATAGTGTTTAAACCTTCATTGAACAATATGTCTTATTGGCCAAAGTAGTTAGGTCACAGCATTCTGAAGTGAAATGCAGTGGTTCAAATCCTTGCTCTTATAACATTTTTTTTAGTCTTTTTCAATTTTTTAAAATACAAAATAAATTTTTAAAGTTTTATAGATGTTGAAGTGGAATCATGCATGGAACAGAAAAATATAAATTTCAGTTACAAGATAAATAAACTTTCAACAAATTCCTTGGAAAATATAAGTTTCAGCAGTATACTTTTTAAAATAATATTTTAGATATTAGTAAAAATTTCCAGAAAGTTATGAGATTGCACTATGTATCATAGAGTCACAGCAATTGTTTAAATGCAGTTCATGAATGATCATGCACGAAAGTTGCAAGTTTATCAATTTCATGTAGTTATTTTTATAGAAATAAATTGCTTGTGAGTATATCAAGTGAAATATTACATTTCTGCATATTGCTTTTAGTCCCAGCTTTTAATTGATAAAATAAAGAAAAATATAAAATCTCGAACATAAATGGAAATGCCCAGTGGTTGAATTCGAGCATGCTGGGCTTCCGAAGTGTAGCACAAGGGTTCAAATCCAAGATTTTCCATGAATTACCCTGACTTGTATTATATGGTCATAGAAAGTTCATTATTCCACATATTTTGAAGTCTAATTCTATATATAATACAAGGTTTCTTTAATTAAGTTACTAGCAGATTGAGTCAAGGTTATAGGTAAGGAGAATCAAGGGGGGGCAGAGATGTTGTTTAGAGGAATACGGAGTTAATAATAATACATTAGTATACATTATTTAATATATTCTATTTTTTGCACATTAATATGGATTGTTTAAAATACATTTTTATTATCATATTACTGCATATTATTATTAGAGCATTTTAGTATGCTTTATATTGTATGGATACATAATTATTAGCATAATAATATGCATTATATTGTATTCATACATAATTTTCTGCATAATTTAGTATATATTATTATCAGCACATATACTTTTATGGCTGCATAGTATATTTATAGGTTTGATAAAAGTTTAAAAAAAAAAAATACATTTTATTTTGATTTTTTTTAATTTTAAGATGTTTTTAAAAATAAAATTAATATTTTAAATTATATATAACATTATATGTGGTTTATTATTATTGTAGTTTATATTAATTTTTTAATTAATTATATTAATGTAATTATTATTGTAAACTAAATATAACATTAGATGTGATTATGTATAAAAGAGTGAATCCATGATTGTCTCTTGAATATTTTTAATTATGTATGATTTTAGCTTCTTTCAAACATTTTTTACTATATAGTTCCTCTGCCAACCAATTTTCATCTGGATTGATTATCAGTCCATCCTGGCCACTTACCTATAGTAAATCAATAAAAAAATGTAAATGGTCTGTAAACACAGGAGATACTATGGACATAATTCAACTTAATGTCATGGATTTGGACATTAATCAAGAAGGCACTTCTTGTAATGATAAGTTATTCATAAAAGGTATATATGTATATTTTTTTACTAAATCATAAATTTTAAATTATGATGCAAAAGTATTTAAAATTTAAACTGTGCTGTAGTATTGTAAAGCAAATAGAATGTTTTAGTGGAATCTTCTAGAATCAAAAAAGTTTTTTTTTTTTGTCAAAAAAAGAAAAATAAATATATATATATATTTATATATATATATATATATATATATATATATATATACATTTATGTATATACCAAAACCTTACCAGAACGCGCGTATGGATGCACACCTTGTACATCTACACTTAAAGTAATTTTTTTAGACAACTTGACCACGTTTTTAAATAGTGAGCATTTTAATAATTCGCGGTAAAACAAAACTAGAGAATAAAACAAAACTAGAGAATAAAATAAAACTAGAGATTAAAACAGCAATACTGGAACCTAAGACTATATGAAATAGAAAATCTAAATAAAATAAGCTAAAACAAAATTTATTAATAAAAACAGAAAATTGTTGTCATAAAAACAAAATACCTGAATATTTTACTCATTTTGTTTTTTTATTTTTTAGGCATTTGTTATTTTCCACCACTTAAATTGATGCAAGTTGAGGGAAAAACTAGATGATTATATAACAAAAAAATTTTTTTTTATAAACAATTTTTTCGCGACTTTTTTTAGTCAGTATATAATTTTTTATTCTATTTTAAAAATTTATTTAACGTTGATAAGTTACAATAGTTTAGTTTTCATAAACTAATTAAAATCAACACATATAACTTTATGGACACACACACCAAAACAAATATTGTTATTAAATAAACAAATAGTTAAAAAAGGCATGTAAATAAAAAATAATAACATGCCTGCACAAAATCAAAATTAAATTATTTGTATCTTTAATAAAAAATTACATAAAGCAAATAAACAATTTAAAAAAAAAAATTTTTTATTAAAAAAGAAATTAAAAATTAAAAAAATTAGTTGCGACAAATTTTACAAAAGCAATTATTTCCTTGCCATTTTTTAATAAGTTTTTTGAAACACGATAGACTGATACCAGACATGGTATCATTATCTAGTGAGTTCCACAGCTAGGTAGAAATATATAAAGGAAATACATTATAAATTGCACTAGAAATACGGACAATTTAAATTTGTTTTTCAAATGTCTTTGCTAAACTTTACTGTTTTTATCAATGCACAGGAAATCAAGAAAACTAATTGCTAATTATTTGTAAAAAAAAAATTACTATTTAAAAAAAAAAAAAGTTTTATTTAAAAAAAATGAAACGATGCTGCAAAATTTTGTGGGCTAGTGCATTGTTAAATTGCTGAACTTTCTTAACAAAATTTTTAGAACCTATTTAAAACTTTTTTTAAGTTTTTAAATACATTTTTTTTAACTAAGCAGTTTTTATTTTCAAGATCTCTAGTAATTCGTATTAACATGGCAACATAAAACGTAACATGGCAACATAAAACGTAACATGGCAATATAAAAGATACTATTTCAGACATGCGTCAAATGTAATAAATACATTTATTAAAGAAATGATGTTATTCTTTTATTTAACTTATACTATCATTAACAAAAGTTATTAAATAATACTTTTTGCAAATAAATAACAATTTATTTTCCTATTATATAAGTATTGAGAAAAAAGATTAAATATAGCAAAAACCTTTAAAAGCGAAAAGACGTAAAAACAAATAAATGAATAAACTTAAGAAAAAAAAAGCGCATAAAAAAAAAGCGCTTGCAGAAAAACTATAAGCGTTTTGTTTTAAATTGTAACAAAACTTTTTTGTTTATATGTGCAGCTTTTATGAAAAATTGCTTTTTTTTACTAGTTTTTTAAAAAATTATTTTATCTAGTATTTATTCAAAATATTCTTTTCTCAATTTTTTATTTTAATTTAAATACCAGAAAAAAATCAATTTTTTAAATCGCGCAGGCTAACTTTAAAATAACTATCCTGCCAGTGCTTTTTAGTGCACTGACATTAAATTTCAAATTGAGAAGACTGATACATGTCAGGTTTGATAAAATATACCTGGGGCTGGGGCCAGATTTGTGACCGAAGCTGCATAAACATTTATACATCCTAAAGTACAAATTTTTTTTTAAATTTATGTTATATTATGAATATATATGCATATATAAACATCATCATGATCAATCATCATTACCATTATCATCATCATCACCATAATCATCATTATCATCATCGTCATCATCATCATCTTTATCATAATCATTATCATCATCATCATTATCGTCATTATGATTATTATCATCATTGCCATCATCATCATTATTATTGTCATCATCATCACCATCATCATCATCAACAGCAGCAGCAACAGCAGCAGGCTTTAGCCTTCCTCTTTTATACTGTTTCTCTAATCAATGCTTAAACAAGCTATTATCTTTATTACAATAAACCAAAATTCATTTTTGCTTGGCTTCTTATTTAACAAATTGCATCTTTTTTCTGTATTTATCCCTATTTATTAAATACTGGCATAAATATATGCCAGAATGTAATAAATAGTAATTATAAATTTTTTTCTAGCCCCGGCTATCAACCCCTGCTAAATCTTATAATTTTGCTGGGGTTGGATTTGTAAAAAGTTTCATTTTTAGCCAGGGCCGGGGCCCTGGTCACTTACTAAACTTAAGTTACACACAAAAATAGTTTTATTATCATTTTTGTTTAAAGCATCTTACCTGTTGCAAGCTGCAGCGTTCAATGCAGAAGAATGAAAAAACTATAGTAACTTCTAGACTGCATTTTCATTTTGCAGTTTCGCTAGATTTTTAAGTATAAATTTTCGTCAATGTATTTGTCCAAGTTTTTTTTGAAAGAGTTTGTGCTTTGCTGCATGATAACATCATCTGGTAGTGAGTTCCACATAAGAACAACTCTAGTGTTTAAGAAATAATACCATTGAGCACAGTTTATTGTGAATCTGCGGTAATGTAAGCACTGGTCAATTTGTTGAAAAACCGTCATAATGGAGAAACCTTCATAGGTTCATTGCAGCAGACTACTTTATTTTTAAAAATCTCTAATTTATGTTTTTGAATTAGATCTCCTTGTTGGCATCTATTTTTTTAGTGATGAGCATTTAATTGCAAAACAGTGAATAGAGTAATTAAGGTTATGAAAATTGTGTGGCATCTTTATAACATGTTTTTGAATTTTCTCTTGAATTTTAATCTTTTTTTAAATATGGTGACTTTGTTGACACTGCATACTCTAAATTTTTTTTTAATATTAGGCGCACTAAGATTACACACATAGGTTTTATAAAGTTTACTTCGTATTGTAACATTTCTTGATATAAATGGGTTTTTTAGAATTCCTAGCATTCGATTAGCTTTATATGATGCTTTCGTAACTTGATCATGAAATTTATGATCAAATTTTTTTTTTTTTTTCAATTCACCTTCTCAAGGCCGAGAAGGCCACTACAGACGAGGAGGATACTTGTTTGTGGTAACAACCCTCTCTCAACTCTATAACTCCGAAACACGAACCTACTACCTTACTACCGCAATGAAAATATTATACCTAAATCTTGTTCAGTTGGTTTTACTTTAAGCAAATCTCTGTTGTGTGCTAAGGTCGTTTATATAGTAATCAAGTTTTAGTAGATTAAAACTCCCTAGAGTATGCATTACTTTACACATTACTTTGCTTTCGTTGAGTTGCATTTGCCTTATTCTTGTCCATTCTGTAATTTAATTGATATCACTCTGCAGTCATTCAGAGTCTTTTTTGTTTGCAATTATGGCAAGTATATTTGTGTCATTAGCATATATCATCTTATCAAGCAAATTGTTAACATATAATAAATAAAGTTCCAAAACGCCTGAGGAACACGATTTTTATTTTAAAACAACACATTGTCAACAATTTGAAAGTTTATTATTAAATACAAGATTATTATGTGATAAATGTTCTGTGATTTTATCTCTAATTATTTTCTCAAAAATTTTATAAGTAACAGAAGTGCGGAAAACTATAGGATTATTTGCTGGGTCTGTTTCACAGTCTTTCTTATATAATAGAGTAACATTGGCTTCTAACCAAGATATAGTAATTCAGATTGAATACTTGAATGTTGAAATATAAGTGATGATGGTTTGGCTAATGATTTTTCACACTTTTGTAGAACTAATGGACTTACACAGTCAGTACCAAACAATTTGTTTGGATCTAATTTAAGTAAATGAAATTCTACTTGCATTTCTATTTTTGTACCATAGTTGTTTTTTTGTTTTACTTAAATTAATAATGTTAATTGTGATCCATAGTTGATATTTTTTATGTATGTGTTTTGATATAGGAGGTATGAATTTAGCACATAGTTCATGATAAATATCTGTTCATTTTTCTTAGGAATCATTACTTAAATTTTTAACATAACAATCCAATCATAACTATTAAAAACTTTATTTAGTTTTGCATAGTTAACCTTTTTTGTAACATAATTTTGAGAAAACAAACAGGGTTGAGGAATTTGATTTTTCTATGATGAGATTTCATTTGAACAGTAAGTGAGCTAATTCATTTTTGTATCAATAAAATTTGTTTCTATTGGTTTTCTTGATCCTTTGAAGTTTGTCGAATAGTCATTATTCCAAACAATGTTAGGGAGTCATTCCATGCCAACTGGACCAAGGTCCAACATGAACCCCTTCAGATTTTGATGAAACTTGGTGGCTTTGTTAATATCAATGAGAATAGCAATTCCTTAAAATTTCAGCATAAAATCTTTTGTAGTTTACTGGTTATTATTGTGGTTGCTCACTAAACATACACATAAAAACTGTGAAACTTAGTTTTTAATGTTAGATAGTAAAAAGACTGCATATAAAACTTATAAGTAACCTAATAGGTAAAAATGAAAAGAAAGACTTTTTGTATTATTTTTCCAATTTTTTCACTATTCCACCCATTAATTTGACTTAATTGATTATCATGTTCAAATTTAGATTACAATTTATATTAAGTTATAAGAGTTATTTGACTTGTCAACACAATGCACATCTTGGTTGCGTAATAAAAAATATTATTATGTAATAAACAACAGCTAAAGTTATATAATTGTTAATTTTGATGGCAGTTATTTTCATTATATTTGATGAGTGGTATATACAACCAATCAGTAACTTGTTACTTCTACTGATTGGGAGTGAAAGCCATAGTTGTTCAAAATATTTAAAAGTAAAGCAAGAATAAATTTGAGAAAAGCTTAATTCAATTACATTTAGGCAACTTCTTGAATATTTGGCAACTCAGTTCATGTAAATTTTCTTTGTTTAAAAGTAGAATTTTTATAAAGGCATTTAAGCTTGAGAGAGTCATTTGAGAAGTTATTATTAATATTGATAAAATTTGTAAAAGGTTTCTTTTTATTGATTTCTAAATTTTTTTGTATTTGTTGAGGTTTTTGAGCATCAGCTGCTGTTTTAGTATCAATGAATGTTTTTCTTTTCCATTAAATAAGCGGGCCTGTGAGACATTGTAATTTTCTCGCTCGAAACAAAACTTTTCTTTCCAAAAATTTATTTATTAACTTGAATTCAACTCATCTTACAAAAGTTTTACATCCATTTATATAATATATCTACCCACAAAATCAACATTACAAAAACCGCTTAATACATAACTACAATTAAAATAATTAAAAACTTTTAGTAAAAGAAACCACGTAATTGCCTTAGAATGTTCTAGAACTTTCTCCACTTTATTTACACTCCTCCTTGGTCCTTACAGATCATACAAATAATAATCGTCGTATTTTCTGGGCATGCGTCATTCTCGAGTACTTTGTGGCAAAGGCACTGTTTCTTGAAATCCATTTTTGGCTTCACCATTTCCTTGCAACACGTCTCCTTTGCTTGTCTCCAACACATTTTTAATTTGCTCACCATGGTTTGCCGCGTTGTCTTGACCACTGTCTGCGTTCACTTTAAGAATATTGCCTGGTTGAATGTTATTTCAATATCGGATATGTTTTACATGACACGGAACGCCATTAACTTCGACTACTTGTTTCGAAATATTTCCTGTTAGTTTTGCTGGCTGCCACTTAGTATGGCACTTCACATTTGACGGTTTCAACCAAACATTATCACTATTTTTAAACACTTCATTTGTGTCAGCTTTTGTCGGAAGATTTTTTTTTTTCAATCCTTTTACATTACTTCGATACCTGTATATTACTGCTTCCGGTATTGACATTTTTGATCTTTCTGCAATTCTCTTAATTGTACGATGATTTCTTTCCACAATTCCATTTCCTTCGGGATAATAAGCAGCTTGAAACCTAATGCGCACTACCCAATTATCAAGAAACTTCTCAACTCCTCAGTTTTAAAAGTTGCTTCGTTGTCTGTCAAAATTTCAGATGGTGCTCCTTGCTCGCAAAAGATAAGGCGGAGTATTTGAGTAATGACAATACTTCCATATGAGCTTGAAAGTTGTCGCTACAGTGTGTATCTTGAAGGTTCGCAATCAACCAGAGTTAAAAATTTTTATGTGCCAAAATGTGTGATATCCATGGCCACTCTTTCCCAATTTTCTTTAATGCTCAATTTTCCCTTCTCCCATTGTACAGGTGCTGGATCTATTGACTGACATGGTTCGCAATTTTTAATTACTTCACTAACGTCATTTTCGGTAGCGGTCAATGCGTCAGCTAAGTTGTCTTTTGAAGAAACAAGTTTTACATTCACATTAATACCATATTCTTCAATACATTGTTGCAGAATGCTTAATCTTCTTCTAATCAACATTTCGCTTTTTATTTCAATCTTGACTTACCAGTGAGAGCGTCAGAGACCCAGTGGAACACTGTCACAGAATCTGTGAAGATAGTTACTTTCTTTAATTTCCACGTCAAAGCCATATTCATTCCTTGCATTACAGCATCCAGCTCTGCCATGTTTATGTGATCCTCAGACATTTCTTTTCGTAGCCATGTTGCATCTTCTACAGTAGTTTTGCCAACTTGAATAACCGCACCACTTGCCAAAGAACTTGCATCAACCCACACATTCCTCTCATCACCATGTACAGCCCAATCACCATAAGCTGGATCACACTTTGCAACCTCATCATAAACCTCTTGAAGTACACGCTTTAAATTTTCATCGCAAGCTTCATCGTCCCAACCCTTCGTCAAACTAACCACTCTTCTTTTCAAAAGACTACAAACTGCATGTAACTAACCACATACTGGTAAATGACCTACCAACTGCCCACAAACGGAAAACACTACTCTTCTACTTAATTTTTTCTCCCTGAACCAGATCAACTTGCCACCAACCATGTACACACGTAATCCCAAAATACGAACCCCATTACATTCAATCTGTTCACCTTCTTTACTCTCTAAACCATATTTTTCAAAATGTCTTTTGACATAATCAAGACTCACTACTTCCTCATTGACAAAAATATCATCCACGTAAGCGCTTGCTCCTCTCTTCACTAATTCATCTTGATCAATAATGGCGCTCACAACAGATTTCATGATCATTGGAGCAACATTTAATCCAAAACCAAGCTGTGCCAAACAATACCTTTTGTTTTGAAAAACCACTGTTTGGAATGGCCAAAGAGATTCTTCAGTTTTTAGTTGGAGATAAGCCTTGCGTAAATCAATAATTGCTGGTTTTTTTCCCATTCTTCTCCATTTCCTCAGCTTCTCAACACACACATCTGCATCTCTTGTATACGTTTCAATAAAACTGTTAGCTTCTCTCCAGTCCAAAACGGGAATTATTATCTTTATTTCATTGAATAACAGCCATTAAGGGAATTAGCCCTTTGGGTGGTCCCATCTTATTTTCGTCATATTTAATTAACCATTTACAATTGATCCAATCCCGTAGTTCGTTTTCATATTCTGTTCTTGCATATTTTGGTATGCTGTATTGGGCAACTTTGTTAACCAACAGGTTGGGGCTTTCTACATCTCTCCATTTCCATTTAACTTCCCATTCGACACCATTAAATATTGCTTCATGATCTTGCTTTTTTATTTCAATTTTATTGACTTCATCTTTCTTTGAGACTGCTATTCCACACAAGCCAAACCCAAACTTTGCTTTTCCAGATGGGGAAATAAAAACTCCTAGCTATTTAATGGAACTCATTCCCAGCATCATATCAACTCCAAACGGTTGAAAATCCACTAAAATAACTTCGTCTTGCATTTGAATTATATTGATGAAATTTACCACTAAAAGTTACTACTTTTAGAGGATTCTGGGATTTATGTTGTTTTCTTGACAACAGTTTTTGATGTATAATTTTCTTTGAACAACCCGTGTCTACCATAGCTGTTGCTAATAAACCATTAACTTTTAGATGAATTATAGATAGTGAGCTAATTCCACCATTGTTCAGGAACGAGGTAGCGCTCATTCCTTGCTCCCGCGCTTGTTTCCCTGCTTCATTAAGCATTTTGCAGCCACGTGTCCTTTATTCCCACATTTAAAACATAGAAAAAAATTCTTTGGAGCCAGATTCTTTGCAAAGGGACAGTTTCTCGCGATATGATTTAACCTTTTGCAGTTGTAACACACTAAAGAAACTTTTGTGGCTTGATTCCGAAAAACAGCGCCAACAGCATCATCTACGCATACACGATTCAAAGTAGCTTTTACTTTGGGTAACATAACATCGATTGGATCCATAACAGCTCGAAATCTTGATGATAAATCTTCGGGCAATCCAACAACAAACGCTAATCGAATAGACTCTTCTGACAATTTAGCAAGATAAGCCAATCGTTTTAAGTCAGCCAAAAACGCATCAACTTTCTCTCCAACATTTAATTTTCGTTTAACAAAAAGTTTGTATGCGGTATAAGCATCCTAAGAGAATGCTGCTAACAAGACACGCTCAACTTCTTCTTCGTCTTGCTTATTTTCATCGTTTAAACCATCGTTTAACAAATAGGCAGTTCCTCTTAGAAGAATTGGAAAGAGTGACTTCAGCTTTACATTTTGCATTTCTGCAATCACTTTAGTTCGCTGTATCCAAACGGCAGCGTCTAATGTTCCATCAAACATTTCAAACATATCCAATAATTTGATATTCAAATCCATGCCCGGTTAGCTTGTAATTTTCATGCTTGAAACAAAACTTTTCTTTCCAAAAATTTATTTATTAACTTGAATTCAACTCATGTTACAAAAGTTTTACATCCATTTATATAATATATCTACCCACAAAATCAACATTTCAAAAACCGCTTAATACATAACTACAATTAAAATAATTAAAAACTATTAGTAAAAGAAACCACGTAATTGCCTTAGAATGTTCTAGAACTTTCTCCACTTTATTTACAGACATCAACGCAGTAGACTCAGTCACCGTGGATGATAAATCTAAAGGGTTGATCAAGAATACCGTAGATCTTTGTTAGTTTCTTGTCTTTCTTTGAATAGCTTAACAAATTCAGCTTGTTCATCTGTAGTTCTTTCAGGTCAAATATGGATGTTTTTTATATATACCTAAAAAATGTCAATATTGAAGGATTTGTGTCATTTTTTTTACTAATATCATTCTCTACCTTTAAAAAATTTTTATCCATCTTTGTATATAATACTTTGTCTATAATTGTATATACGTTGCTGCTCTAGTAAACTCATCATTTGTTCCACCACAGAACACAATATTACGTGATTTATTTAGCCAATTAGCCAAGTTGCATCTATTTGCTGTAACCGTTTGATTATGCTCTAAAAAAAATTTTAATCTAGTTTTTTATCTTGGAATTCTCTTATGTCCTAATCTTTTCTTAAATCAACTTTTTTTTTTAAGCCTTCTGTTTAGTTTTTGTTACAAATCCTTTTTTGATTCTAAAATTCTAAATTTCTTAATATTTTGGCAACTAAGGAAATAAATTTTACATTTTTTTTATTAAACAAAATTGAATTGTTTTATCAATTTCTCAGGATTTTTATTTACTTTTATGTTTATGAAGGTATCAAATCTCTAAAAAAATGGAATTTTTGTCGGAAGAGTAAACCATTTTCAATTTTAACTGATTATTATAACTTGGAAGTCCAAATGGATATATTAAACTATAAAAGTTTGACTTCAAATCGAGGTTTTGTTATTGGGATTACAGCTTGGAAAAGTACAGGTATATTAACTTTTCACAGGTATAATTTTTTTTTTTACAGGTATAATAATTTTTTTTCACAGGTATTATAATTATTTTTTTTACAGGTATTATTATTTTTTTCTCTAATGCTAATAATAATAAACTAATTTTCAAATCTAGTGTTAACATAATATTATAAACTACCAAATTTTCTTGAAGGTTCGGTATTTTAAAAATATTTTTTGGTATTAAAAACAGATAAAATCGATAATAATTAAGATTACATTAAGTTTAAAAGTAATATCAAAAATTTATTTATTTTTTTGAGTAACTTTATTTTATTTATGAAGTTATTTAAAATATATGTATAGTTATAAATAAAACTTGAAAATTTGCTATGGAAAATGAGTTTGTCAACTCATTTTGTAATAAAAACGGGGGGGGGGGGGGGGGGGGGAAATTTACAGTCTAAAATAAAATTACAAAAAAAAGTGTCTAGTCTAAAAAGTATGACAAAGTAATGTCTAATAACTGGTGTTCACTAGTTAAACAAAATGGATTGCGTCATTAACTAAGTTTTTTTGATAAATAAAAACAGTTAAAAATTGATTTACTAATAAATGAGAAAAGGCAAAAAAAATATTTCTATTCTTTTCTATTTGTAAAAGGTGCTACCATTTTGTAGAGAACTTCCGATTCCATTCAGAGGAAATCCAATATTTACTGCAATTATTGTTACATAAAATCTAGTATTACATGGCATTATTTTATAATAATCTACAACTATTTTTAGGTTACTTGAAACATAAAACCATAAAACCAATTTTATTTGAAAACCTTAGAACCAATTCCTAGATGTATTTGAAAATACTAGATTAATATTACAAAAGTACTACAAATACTATAAAAAGTTTTTGATGTATGAAATGGAAAATGAATTGTTATAAGTTAGTACTTAAGCAAATTGGATGATCAAGTCAAAAAGAAATTAACAGTAAAAATTAGATTATCAAGTTAAGAAGAACATAAAAAGCATAACTGTTTGAAATCTAGGAGTGAAGAAATAAACTCAATAATTTTTTATTTGATAAAATATTTTTCTGAACCTATCTGTAAAAATTTTGCTTGGATCTAATTTCGGTCTGTTAAAAAATATAAATTATCTTATAATATATTTCAGAAAACATTAGGTGGCTATACAACCAATTAGGGTCATACGGTTTGTTGTCTAGAGGGTTAATCATAAATTAACAATAACTTTATTATGTAGTTAAATATATTATATTTTTCCCAAAAAATATTTGCTTTGATAATTTTGGAAAATTTTAATTTAGATGCTTAATTTAGATTGTTTCTTTTTCTTTTTTGGCTTTATTACTTTTATTTTTGGCTTAAAAAAATAAAAAAATTAAATGTATTTTATTAAAAAAGTTTAAATGATTTTGCCAAAGAGGACCACTTAATAGTATGTTAAAAAGTTTTTTACTGCTTTTCTCACTGATATTTTTTATCGCTTTTAAAACTAAAGCCAATTCTTTATTTAATTAATTAATGCTCTGCTATTTTGTTTTGCTTAAGGCCAAATTTTGCCCTTAAACTGCAGATCTTTTTCTCCTTGATAGTCATTGATTTAAGTTGGTGAAATTAAAGAATATCTCTCTAAAGAATATCTCTCTAAATAATATTTCTCCAAAGAATATCTCTCTAAAGAATATCTCTCTAAATGATATTTCTCCAAAGAGTATCTCTAAAGAATATCTCTCTAAAGAATATCTCTCAAAAGAATATCTCTCTAAAGAATATCTCTCTAAAGAATATCTCTCTAAAGAATATCTCTCTAAAGAATATCTCTCTAAAGAATATCTCTCTAAAAGCTGATTTTAATAGGTAAAAGTTCTTTTAGAATTTCCAGGTTATCTAGATGTGAAGTTTAGAATATATATGTTGGGCACTTTTTTGTTTGAATTAATAATGAGGTTTTGGATAAATTAAGAGATTTTACAAAGTTTTTTAAGGAGATATTACCCTGAAACTTCAACTTTTGTTACAATCCTCTCTTAATCTTTTAATTTTAAACTTTTAGAATTGTTAATATCTTCTGCAACTGTGGAAATCAATTAGTTTATATTTTTTATATAATATAAGTAAATTGTACACTACTTAGATGAGTAAGTAAAAAATAATAAATAATCAAAAATCATTAACCATTAAATCACTCAGCCAATTTCAGAAACTAAATTTTGTATTTTATATTATCCACACGATAAATAGACTTGTGAATATTGAATTTTGTTTTAACTTGATTAGAATGTTTCAAAAGTATGCCATAAACTGCCCACATTGTCTTAACTTTTTTGTTAACTCTTCAGCAAGTATAAAGTTTGTTGTGTAAACAACTAAATTATATTACATTTGTTAGAAAAATTATTTTAATTTTCACTGACAAATAATACAAAGAAAAAAAAAAGAAGCAGAGCTAGAAATTAGAATACATTTTTATCAATTAAAAGTGTTGTCTGAGGCACAGCTAGTGGTTTGATGACTGAATACAAATGGAAGACCGAATATAAACCGATGATCGAATACAAATCAAAGTCCGAATACAAATCGATGAATTACAATAATACAAATTGGAAAGATCGTGTAAATTAGTGTAAATGTAAAAAAAAAAAAAGTTAAAATGTAAGGAATGAAAAGTATTTTACATTTTGCTGAATAAAAATTGTTTATATTTATATGTAGCCTTTAAAACAAAGTTCTTGAAATTTAGTTTTATAAGTAACAATAATGCTTGAAGGTTATATCTATTGCTACCATTGTTTGTGTTTGTTACCACATGCTAGTGGTAACAAACACAAACAATGTATACATGTGACTGTAAATGTAAAATGCAAACAGTAAATTAATTTTTCATTGATTTTAGTAAAAAAGTTATTTATTAATGGTTTCTATTTTTTACTCAAAAAATCATTGTTTTTTGATTTAAATAAAATAAAATCATATCCTCAAAAACCACATCAACTAAAATGTAAATATATAAAACAAACTACAAAAACCTTATCATATGCTTCCCCAAAAACAACTTTAATGTTTTTTTGTTATTTAATAATACATCTTAAAGTTGCATAAACCTATTATTTATTTTTGTTATATATATATATGTATATATATAGTATAATCTAATAATACATCTAATAATATAATCTAATAATACATCTAATAATATCTAATAATGTCTAATACTAATAATACATCTTAAAGTTGCATAAATCTATTATTTATTTTTGTTATATATATATATATATATATATATATATATATATATATATATATATATATATATATATATATATATATATATATATATATATATATATATATATATATATATATATATATATATATATATATATATATATATATATATATATATATATATATATATATATATATATATATATATATAGTATAAATATATACCTATACCACAGATGTCTAAACTAGTTTTGCTTGTCTATGCATTTGTAAAGTAACTTGTAAACATATTTGCAATTATTATACAGGAATAAATATTAAAAATATTCTAAAAATGACTACAAAGTTTATCTTACGTTTAACAAGATCTCTAAATCCAAGTTGTAAAGCAGAAGCAGTAGTTGCAAGAAAGAACACTAAAAACGTACAAAAAACAAACAGTTAGTAGAAGCTTTTCCTCTTAATTAAAGATCAAGAAAGAATAAATCGTTTTCTGGATGATAAAATGCAGACAGGAAAAGAACAACAATAATGCTCAATATTAGAAGAAGAAGAGAATTAAATTATATGTCTTGTGAAAAAGAAATTGATCCTTGCAAGATGTCAATAAAGCACAATTGAACAAATTAATGTTAGATACATTGAAAACAAGAAGGTTACATCCAACAAGAGAACAACAAAAATATCAGCCATTATTATCTGCTGCAAAATTGCCATTAAAGATCAATGGTTACAAACAGCTTTAATTTTTAGTTTCTTTAGCGGTTGTATAATTAAATTGTATTTACTTAAACTTTAAAAAAAAAGAATTTTTTTAATATTCTGATCCGTTTGCATTATTATTATTTTTTTTTTTCGGATTTAGCATTTTGGCCAAGATTTTATTTAAAATGTTTAACAGTTGAAAAAAGATCAATGTAAAAAATGTAAAAAACAGAGATAAGTTAGCATTCATCCCTTTATGTCATTCTCAGGTTTGGTTTTATTTTAGTATTCGTTATTTATAAGATGGTTGGACTTAAACCAGCATAGCCAGTTGTAAAACTGGTGTTTTCTATAATCAAGTTGGTGTAATTAATAAAGCATTTAGTATTAAATTCAAGCAACACCAAAAGTTTGATAGAGCAGATGTATGGAAATTACTAAAAATCCATCAGTTTCATCCACACAATCAATCATGACCCCTGATTCCTCTTTTGTTGTCTCCCCAGATAAAAAAAATGAGAATCTGCATTGTATTGGGAAAAAAAAAGTTTGAAAGCGCGTAAACTTTTATTAAAGAGTTGCATTAGAAGAACATCTAGTTAGAGGAGATACCAGGATTTATGAGCGTTAAAAAAGTAAAGCCAAATCTATCAAGCGATTCAGCACAAATAATTCAAATGCATGGGTCAATGAAATCTAAAGATTTTAAAGTTTAGTTAAAGACATAAATGAAAAGAAATAAGAAAAAGTTAGAAAACAAGTGCAAATGCAGAAAAAAAGAAAATCTTTATTAAATGTAAGAGAAATGTGTGTGTACTGAAAACATTTGTAGAGTAAAAATAGCGAAGAAATGTCCAAAATGCCACAATATTTTAAAATCTCAATGCAACAATTAAAATCTCAATGCAGTGTTGATGGAAAGAAACCTACAATGATTTTTCCTGATGCAACTTTGCAAAGAACAGCAACAAATCAGCTTATTAAATGCTTATAGTGATAGCTTATCTAATGCAGGTAGTGATACTTCAGAGAGCGATGAAGGATTTACGAATACTGAGTTTATGTATTACTAAAACATTCATCTAAAATGTAATCCTGTATTTATTATTTCATGTTATGATAAACAATATTCTAGTTATGTTATTTGACCATTATGCTTATTTGCTAAATGCACCTCAAAAACGTTATCACTACTAGGTTGAACTTGGCTCAATAATATCAAACGTAATATTAATAAATGAATTAAACATTTGATTATTATTGAAAAGGACAGTCAAGAGTGTATTAAAAAGTCAGTTTGCAAAAAACCAGAGAAAACCTCAAAAAAATTACTTTAAATTATTTTGTAACCACAACTAAAAGTAGCCTCCTTGACTGTAGGTTGCGCTTTGGGGAGGTGAATTAAAATTAAGAAAATAATGTTAAAATTATTATTATTATTATTTAAATACTAATTAAATTATTTAAAGATGTGTTGTCAGTTTTGTTGTAGTCGATATCTGTATCGTATCGTTTGTTTTTGTCAATCTTAACAAAGGGGTTATTACGTGAAGCAAAAATGTTGCAGGCCAAAACTGCAAAGAAACGTTACATATATAGAAAAATATTCTATTATTCTCTCTCAATCTTCAATCAAATTTAATTTAGTTGAATGTTTAAAACATGTTTTGAATGTTTTGAACATTTTTCATTATAATAAGATTTTTATTTAGAAAAAAAGAATTTCCACTTGCATCATTAATTGCATTCAAATAGTGATTTTTCACGTGCATTTTAATGTTTTTTATTTTGGTAATTTTGTTTGACAAATTTAAAAAAAATTTAATTTACTAATGAAAAACAAAAGATATTCAGTGTTAAAGATTCAACTGCCCATTCACGTGATTCAAAATGCGACTATAGGGTCTAAATAATGAGACAATAGCATTTGGAAATGAAAAAAAAAATTAAGTTTGAATGCTTTTAAATATTATTATATTTAGGGATTTTTAGAAGGCATAGTCACCTGATATATTGATAAAATATGCTTTAAACTATTCAGGTGTTTGTAAAAAAATTGATTTAGATATGAAAAATAGGTTGCCTACCGTAAAATTACTCCATTACTATTAAGGTTAAAATAATTTTTATTTTAAATTTTTGTTTTTTATTTTTTGTTTTAAAAAAAATTTCTCTAAGTTTTTACATTTTTTTAATAATTTGATTTTGTAATTTTTCCAAAATTATAATTTTATTTTTCTTAATTTTCTTTACTTTTTTTTATTTTCTAATTTTAGGGTTTCTTAATATTCTCTTGAATAACAAAAAAATAATAAAATACATCATTCCTGCGGTATTAGTTGTCGTTGCTATTTTTTTTGTTATTGTACATCGATGTATTCGAAGAAGGCGTCTTTTACAATCTAACAAAAATGTAACTCCACAATATGGCGCGGTACCGAACTCAGCTCCAGATACGATTGAACTTAATAATGAATCTAATCACGACTCTAAGCAAAGTTTTAATCCTAGTCCATACCCTGTTCAACAAGCATATCCTCCATATGAAGATGAACTCAAGCAACCATTGATGTATCCCCCTGCTCAGCAATATCAACCTCCTATTCAACAATATCCAGGTCCTCTCTCCCAAAACCCAGCACCTTTTCAACCATATTTAGCAGCCTCACCACAACAATACCTACCTCTACAGCAAAATATAGGTAGCAATTATTATTGATTTTATTTTTTGAGAACTTTTATTCTGCTTTTTTGATAATATTTGGCTCACAATTTTTTAGTATTAAATGGTTGTTTGAGTTTATTTTAAATAGAAAGTTCTTTAAAAATTAATGATTTTATTAAACTAAGCTATACTAACTAGTAAATGTTTGATGTCTTGAACACAAAAAAAGTAAAGTCTTGAAAAGATTGCATAAAGAACTCACAAGTTACAAACATCGGTATTGTTGATTATTGACAGAAGAAATTCGTAATAGTTTAATTGTTAGTTTGCAAGAATTAATTTTCTTAATTCTTTTTTTAATGGCTGTTGAGCGATTTTATGTTTTTTTTAGATGGAACACAAGTTTTATTATTGATAATTTTATAATTTGTTTAAATTCTTCAATTTATAGACGAAAAAGCAATGTAAAATGTTGATTTTTTGAAGATTTGTTGCTGTTGTTTTTGCTTCATCATGAGTTCTATAACTATAGTATATAAATTGTAGATACTATTATTATGTATTATTTCTATTTTAGGGGTAATTGAACCTCCTCCACCTCCGTATCCAGGTATATAGTCTACGTTTTAGTGGTTCATGAATTTATGCTAAACTTGTAATATTTTGAATGTTATTTTTTTATGTTGATTTTTTTTCGTATTTAATAATTATTAGCTTTTTTATTTTGTAAATTTTTTTTGGAATTTTTTAATTTAATGTTTAACTTAAAATTTCTTAACAACTTAGTTACTAACCTGTATAAGTATTTCTTTATATGTGTGTGAATGTGCCTGTTTTACATTGAAAAAAGTTGAAAAATTTTGGAGTTTATTGTTGTACTGCACAATGCAAAAGTGCATTTTACGATTATCAAGGAAGTCAGGCATTGGATTATTTAAAGTTCCTAAGGACATTGCTCGTCGTAATAAGTGGTCTAAAGTTATTCCTCAGTTTATAAAAAAAGATGGTAACGACAATTTTGTTATAAAGAATATAGTATGTGAGCTTCATTTTAAAGTTGAAGATATTCCATTATTAATAAATATTGGCAGAAAAACTCTTAAAATGGGAGCATTCTCATCTATTTTTTAATTTAAAAAGCAAATTGACGTAAAAAATAAAATCCTCTCCCAGAAAAAGAAAACTACATTAAAATTTTGGAAATGTTTTTAAAAACGAAGCTATTAAAATTAATAACAAAGTGTAGTTAATTGAATTTGAGGTTGACACCAGTCTAAAAGCCAGCTGTTGTTATGACGACCTATAACATAAATTTAATTTATTACAAAAAGAAAAGAAAGAGTTGATATCTAAAATCTTTTAGAATCCTAAAGCAAAAAACAAAAAAATTAATTAAATCAATATAAAAAAATATATATTAAAAGTTAAGAAAATATGTCAACAGACAAAAAATTGTTCCAAAAGTATACTGGTATTGAAGAATGAACAGTTCATTAGTTTAACAAATTTTTAGATAAGAATATTAAAGAATATTAAATTTCACAACTCATCATTATCCAAAAAGACTCATATTTTAGTCATTGAGGAAAAATCTGGTCCACAACCAAAATTAAAACAGAAGGTCTACTACGCTATATATGTATATATAGTAGCTAAAAAATGGAATTACAATTTTTCAAACAACTTGAGTTATTCAAAATACCAAAATCTACAACATCAACATTTGTTTTATTTTTTATTTGACGAATAGTTATACAGGATAAATTACTGCAGAAATTATTACAATTTTGTTATCAATGTCCTGTTAAAAAATATTTAAAAAAGTTAATTTATTATAAAATTATAATCTTATTTTTAAATCCACTCAACGAGTTGATTTTCCTAATTTCTACTCATAAATCATTATAACCTCTTGTAACAGAGTAATAGAAAAAACTTTTAGCAAATTAAAGTCGGATTTTTGGAATTTTAATTAGGTTGCAGTTAATTCTTGTTGCTTTTGAATGGCTGACAACTTCAAAATAGTTTATATAGTTTGACCATGATAAACTAAGAATGGGTTATTTCGTTTATAGACAAGATGAATGGCGATTTTGTGTTTACTTCATTTTTATTGTTTGCATTCATTATACGAGATACACGTATATGCAAAGAGTCTAGCTTATCTGTTTTTAATTTTGGTAGGTTGAGGCAAAGACTCCCACAGTAGGTAAAAAGTTTTAACCTACTGTGGGAATCTTTCCTTAATCTTTCAACCTACTGTGGGAATCGTTTTAACTTAAAACGGGTATAATAGTCAATTGGTAAATGCGTCCTGCTGCTAGAGGTGTTAACAAATATCTAACTTTTTTAATTAATTTTAGTCTGCCACAAGTTTTTTTATGAGTTTTTTTTAAATAACTACTCATTTTTGAAATAACTACTCAAACTAGTGTCGGGTCTAGGTCGATACCAAGGTATTTATAGCTCAAGGTGAATCATCGAGTTAAGAAACTTTCAATGTGTTTGGTTGTCTTGAGAGAAATTTTCTTGTATCAAACAACATGGGCTCTGTTTTACCGACTTCAAGGTTGAGTAGTAGCTCGTTATTTATACACCGGTTTGAGATGTCTTCCATATCGGATGAAAGATGCGATTCTATTATAGATATATCTTTTCCAGGACGTATATGACTGTGTCGTCAGCATAAATAATAAATTTGAATTTTGAATGTTTCAAACAAGGTACCAGGTCATTAAAGAAAATCTTTATACCAGCATAGTTCAGTATCACGAACTGTTAAGCTTGTTGATTAGTATTCCGTGACTTCTTGTGTCAATTGCCTTACTCAAGTCAAGAAATACTGTTTCCAATTATTTTAACTTCGTCAACTTTTCGTTTTATGTTATCTACAAACAGCCTTGCAGCTAGTTTTGTTGATTGTCTACGTCGAAAACCAAACTAATTGCTATTTATCAAACTAGTTTTCTGTAAATAATTTAGAATTGTAAGTTGGGAGAATTCTCGAGCATTTCCAATTAGTTGGATAGGTTGATATTTTCAAAGACATGTGAGTAAGTGGTTTAGATAATCACGTTGCTAATTTTCCATATTTTTTGTTGGAAAGTGTCTCTATTTGGCCTTCACAAGAATAAGTTGATAAGCATATTCCAGAAAACTTTAAGATGATATTTCCTTCAACAATATGCATCATTGATTGTACTGAACTCTTTTGTCAGAAACCTTCATTGTTTAGAGAGTTTTTTATTCTCCATTTATAAAAATCACTCAACTTATAATGAATAGTTACGTTTTTCTTTTTTCTTTTTTATTACAAAATAATAAATATTTAGAATATTATAATAGAATAATTTAATAACAAACATAAAAAAATTTATGGGCTTTAAATTTACCTAACTAAAATATTCCTATATTCCTATATATTATATATAAATATGTAAGTATATTTAAGTTAATTCACTTATTATACCAGTTATTATTAGTTGCAGTTTTAGTTTATAATCAAAGTATTCATATTTTACTTGGTGACTATAATATTGATCTGATAAAATCAAATATTGACATTGTGACGTTTTTTAAACTTACTTTCTTTTAAAGCCCTATTATCACTTTGCAGACTAGAATTACTTTTATCACTTTGCAGACTAGAATTACTGATCATTCTGCTGCAACCATTGATAATATTTTCTTTAATTTAAAAACTAATGAAATTATTTTAGGAAATTTGACAACTTCTATTTCTAATCCCTTACCTCAATTTTGTATTTGTCACAATTTCAATAAGTTATATAATCCACGCAGACACAATTTCTATAGCAAGAGTTTTGAAAACTTCAATAAAGAAAACTTTAAATCTGATTTATCAAATATTGGCTGAGATGAAGTTATAAAGTTTAGATTTCATACAAACTTTACTAAGTTCAAAGTCCAAACTTTTTAAAGTTTGGACTTTGATACAAACTCATGTTTCTAAACACCTATTACTGAAACAACATTGATCTTTTTATTTTGATTGCTTTGTCCCACTTATAAAAACTTATACCAAGAGCTTCGAACGTCGATTTAAACCATGCATTACAAAAAGAATTATAAAATCTATTCAAGTGCGCAATTTTTTCAAACAAAAAAAGTTAAGACCTTATAAATATAAACAAGTTTGAAAAATATAGTAATATGATAATTACATTAATTAAACTCAGTACAAAAATCCATTTTAGAAATTTTTCTTAAAAATGTAAAAAATCTTCGCGAACTTTTGAAAGGCAGCAACAATCTAATAAATTTCAATAAATTTAAAAAATCATTACCTAATTGCTTACAAGAAAATGAAATTTATATGACTGACCCGATTCTATTTCCCAAAACATTTAACACTTATTTTGCAAATGTTTTTCGAAAACATAAATCAAATATTCATTCGTTTTAAGTCAACTATAAAAAGTGTTTTACATTATCACATATACATTGTCTATTGTTTTCTCCAACAAATATTATATTTACATAGTTTATTATTTCCTCCAACAAATATCTCTTATATCTTAATTGAATCCAAGGAAATCATTAGGTTTGAATAGCATACCCACAAACATATAGATTTAATTCATAAGTGGAACATTTCCAGATATATTGTTTTATTCCAATTTTTAAAAATGGCTCTAAACTTTCATGCACTAACTATAGATTTATTTCTCTTTTATTTAAAATTAGTAAGCTTTTTGAAAACCTTACGTATTCAAGAGTGTTCTCTTTTCTGAACTCATTTAATACTGGCTTTGTTTTGTTTGTGGTGTTATTATCAATTTAAATAATAACCTATTATGTGTGGCGTTCCTCAAGGTTCTGTTCTAGGTCCTCTTTTGTTTTTCAATTTACATTAACATGGTTTTATTAACATTCATTTGGTGATAATACAAATCTATCGCATACCAATTTTACATATCAATCTGCCATTTTTCTGAGCATAAAAAAACTTTGTTGATGGCAATAGCTAGGTTGTAACTATGATCCGTATTCCTAAACGAGCTATATAGTTTTATATCGTCAGCATATAGCATTAGAGAACAAGATTTTTGATTATAGAGGGGAAATCGTTATCATACAATAAGAGGAAATTTACTAATAATGCTGCATGGCTTTGAAAGTGGATTTTCGACCAAAACTCGTTGGCATCTATTTGAAAGAAATGTTGAGATGAAATTAAGGAGGTTATTTCTCATACCATACACAGCAAAATTTCTCATGAGTTTTGGGTGAGGTACAGAAGCAAATGATTTTTAGAAATCAATATACATCATTTCTGTAATTAAATGGTTACCAAGAGCTTTATTTCAATCATTTTTTGACTCAAGAAGACTAGTTCAGATAGATATTTTAGATAAAAAAAAATGTGTTGGTAAGGCGTAATTATTGTGTTGGGCGTAATTATTGTGTTGGGCGTAATTAGATAATTACTATTTAAATAATCTGCATTTTTTGAACTTTCCATGACAAGACAGTTGGTACATGTTATAGAGATGGGTCTATAATTATTAGGGTGGTCCAAAATTATAAATTATTGAAATTCATTTCTCCACAAGGCTGCCTTTGTTCCTATTAATATTTGCAATATTGTAGCCAAATTTGAAGCAAATCGGATAATATTTAGGGGTTGCTATAAATTTTGACTTTTTGACCACAATGATAAAAAAATCAAAAAATTTAAATTTTCACTATAAATATAATA